CAAGCCACAGGTTCGAGGTGGCGGAGGTGGCGCGCGCCGCTGCTTGACGGGCTTCGCGTGGTGGTTCCGTTACAGGAGGAGGGCGGAGGGTGGTCCGTAGGCAGGCGTTGGGGCGTGGGTGGGCGAACCCGGAAAAGAGCGAGAGAGGGAGGAGCTCCCCGGGGGGCGAGGGGCGAGTCACATCCTTTCAAAGTGTACACAAAACTTGATTCCCAATGATCCATGTCCATTCCTTTTAATTCCGGATAGTCTCTAGTTGCAGAAAACGCTCATTTGGCTCATTTCTATTAATTCTTGATGAGTTTTGAAGTTTCCCGGCCAATTTCAGTGTTACACACTGTTTACTATTGATTTTTGATTTCCATTCCGATATTTTCCAAGCAGGTGTACACATGATTCCCAAAGAGATTTCAAAACTGATCTCTCGTCCTCGTCGTGAGCAATAATAATGAAGACATAGAGAACGAACAACGGCGCCCACGACCGAAGTGTTTGCAATAACGTCATAGAAATGAAAAACGGTTCAGGCAGGAAGTACAAATGAATAGAACAAACTGCACTACAACTACCGGCGACGAAGACGGATGGGTGGATGAGGAGAGGCGCGAGGAGGAGGAAGGAGAGCGAGCGAGCGTGTGAGAGAACAGAACGAGAGCGAGTGAGGGCGCTTTATAAACACATGGTGGTCCGAGTGCCAAAACTTGGACAAGTCGTTAAGTCATTCATTAACGACATCACACGGGCCGCCGCCGCCGCTTCATCGCTGGCGCTGTAATACTGATACGACGCGAGCGACAAGCGGCGGCAAGCGAGGCGCGGGCGATCCGTGTAGGTGTAGCCTCGCCACGCCGGCAGCGTATACGACACACACCTGCCTGCTTCACAGGACCCCCCCGGCCCCGGCCCGGCGGCCCCCCGTCCCGCCCGGCGCTAACAAGAATGCAGACGTGTCTGGTCCCTGCCGCCCCGCCCTGCCGTGCCGTGCTCTGCGCTCCCCGGCGCGTCCGGGCACGACAGCGGAGGGGACACACGTGCTGGGCACGGTAGCGGGGGCGGTAGAGCGATCGTCAATTATTAAGCCTCCGGTAGCGGCAGTCGCGCTCAGCTCGCCTCGCGCCGATCGGGTCGATATCGATAACCCCGCCCCGCCCCCGCGCCGTCCGGCTCCTCGGCCAACAAGGACCCCAGCAAAGAGTCTGCTGCCCCCTGCTCGCCGAGCAGGGAGGAGGGGGCTGGAGATGCGGCAGGATTATATTTGTCGACAATTAATCCCGATAATGAAGTATGAGCGACAATGGCGACCAGAGCCGCAACAATGTAATCGTGTCCAGCGGCAGCGCGGCCAATCGCGCGGCACTTCATTGTCGCCGCGGCCATCGCCGCTAGGCGGGCTGCTGCCGCC